TTCTCCTCCAGGTTGCTTGGGGCACGCGGGGTGTGTGAAGTATCGGGCCAGCCTGCGCGAGCAAAAATGAGTCAATATCGCACCAAGCTCCAAGTAATGGTGAATTGCTGTCCTGCATGGGTTGGGCTGGAACCATGCACGCCTGCAGGACACTGCTCCATGTCCATTTATCACTTTTCGGCACAAAATGTTCCAAGCGACTTAGCAGCGCACCATCCCCACCTGACTTGGCGCACCGCGAAGCCTCAAACCAAGCAGTTTCACACCGAGCCTTTCGTCGTTCCGCCCCGAGCAGCGCTGGGGTCTCCGGCGGCGAACGCTCGACGCTCGCGCGAGAGGGAAGCACCTCCCGTGAGGACGGACGACACCTCCGACACCTCCTGCTATGGCTCAAACATCGAGCAGGGAACACCTTCCGTCATCCAAACCGTCAACGTGATTTTTGGGGTGAGATCAGACACGGTCGCCTTTGAAGTCGCCTTTGAGAGTTCAATAGAGACAAGCCTTTCAAACATCTTGCATTCGGAAAGCGAGGGATCCTTTCAAACAGGATCTGAGTCGGTGTGGATTCTGAGAGGATCCTTTTCTTGGCCCCTTACCCGCGGGTATCCTGTGCTCGTTTAGCGGTCTTGCTGGGGCTATAGGGTTCCCCCAGGCACGTCCACTGTAAAACCGAAAACCAAAAAATATAACACGATTTTGTTTTTTTACTCATCCCTTGATTGCCTCGCACCCATGCTCGTCAGTTCTATTTGGTGTCAAATCCAAAGAAAGGCGTTCCTCCAAAGATGTTTGGCGCAATGGCACGCAGCAGGGTTCTTGACCTGACTTCACACTCACGTCATGGCATTTGGAAAGCCAAAAGGCACTAGTAAAAGTGCATGTTGCTCTTTCTCAGCCCAAGGCGGTAGGCCACCGTCACCAGCCTTGGTAAGCAAAGAGGTGGATTGCTGAGACAGGAGGCAATCCAAGCACCAAGCACGGGAGCCGCCACAGAAGCGGGACGCATCACCGTGGCCTGAGGCGGAGAGGCCAAGAGACAGACGACTTGAGCTAAGAACGACGTGGTCTGATCTAATCGTGCATGTTCTCGAGCTGTGTGGAATGGAAAAAGGGATGAACTGACCAGGACTGACCCCCTGAGTTTATGGGTGAGAGGGAGATAAAGAGGTCGAACAAAGAACTCATGTCTGCAGCATGGTGCCAGCTTTGGCTAAGCAAGGTGTGCTTGCCTGCGGGGAGCTCCTTCTAAGCTTCTCCCCACCTGGCAGCGAATGGGCAGCTTCTCTTCCAAGATTTTGCAAGGCACTTATTGAAGGCAAAAACAAAGGCGCACCGAGGACACTAACAGCAATTTTCTTATTGATTTTATCATATAGGATAGGGTTGATTTGGGAATCATCAACACATTGGACCGACGACAACTGCTCACATCTTGTCATTCTCAAAAAATGATCCCTGCAGCCCACGGCCCCTGGGGTCAAAGCTGGATGCAGATGCACAGGACTGCATAATGAATGCAGCCTTGCAAAAGAGCTCTGGGTCAACCGAGCACTTGGGAATAGTAGAGCTCCAAGGACAAGAACTGGCAAGTACTAGTAAACAGGTGGAAATATTTGAGCAACACCGGGGCTTCTGATGTTGAAATGTTGAACGCAAAACCACCCTCAAGGGGCTAACTTCGTGCGTTCTCTACCCATGTCAGCTCCAACTGATTTGCCTTTTTGATGCCAAATTGAACAGAAGCTTCTTGAAATCCCCATCATGCCGGGATTCCACCTTGGCATTGGGTGTACATGCCAGAGGGAGGAAATTCATAACCTCGCATCTCAGACATGCTTGCAGCTGCCTTTTGGCCAGCTGCATCTAGCCGGCCATTGGGCCAAGAGGCCGTGCCTCGTTTGTCCAAAACTGTACAAAGATCGGCGTGCATGGCGTGCAGTAAACTGAACATCTAAGCCAGGCCGTGCGGGCAGCTAGGGGGCCTGCTGGCCGGGCATTTTTTACTTGCCGTCGGCCAGAGGATGAAAGCCCTGCTACGAAATAACAAAAGATGTCTCCGCGGGGGATAGAACCACCTCAGAAACAGGAACTCTTGCTTCCTTACCAGCAAGGTGAGGCTTCCTCAGATCTCATCGTCACCTTGGTGCGAGGTCAGCTTGTGGCACGAAAGTGTCTCTGGTTTTGGGCCAAGCTCATTAGGAATGGAAAACACCCAACTCGGATGGAGGAATGTGTATGGCTTCAAAAGCACAAGTAACTTGAAATGCCAACCAAGTCTGCAATGTCCTCCTCACTGCCAGTGGTTGAGCGGAAATCATCGAGATCATCATCTCCAGCTTCTCTGTGGCCTAGCAAGCTGCTCTAGAAGCTGTCATCTTAGAGGGCAGCCCATAAAGGTTCCAGCCACTGACTGATGCACTCAATTTTGTGTGCGTGCAAAACGATGAAATGCACAGAAAGAACTAGGTAGAAGGACGCAATTACCGAAGCAAACCCATTACCTAAGCATAGGCAGAACTAGGTAATAGGTCTGCTTCCAAAGCCGAAGCACGGTGCTGATGGCCCCAGCAGGTTGCCCTGATTGCTGGGACTGAGAGGATTGATAGGGAATTCTACAAGCCGGTCCTGGCGCTTCGAGAGTACCCTACCGAAAAAATGGCCACCTCATGACCCGCTCAGTAGCAGGGCTGGCTGTGGGTCAACGCACCGTCTTGCTGAATTCCTGGTGGGTCAACGCGCAAATCAATTAGGCATGGACTGTTCCATAAAGTGGCACGTTTGTTTCATTTTTCCACCGTTGCAAATTTCTGTACCTGGCTGATGTGGACAAGCTCTCCGACAACCATGCCAAGGCAAGGTCAGGATTTTAGTGCTCTTGGACGATGCATCATAGTCTGGGGTGTGACGCGGGTGCAATTTTTGCAGGAGAAATGAAAGCTGGGCATTCAGTGTTAGATTCATCCAGCGTTTTCTTCTTCACCATCCATATCGCTCTGACAATGGTGCTCCATTTCTTTCCAACAAGCCAAATTCCATCAGAGTGAGGTAGCATGTTCTTGACCCAAAATGACTCCCCAACAGCAAACCACCTCAGAACAAGACCCATTTCATACTTCATATACTTCCCTATCCTTATCGCAAGCCAACCCGTGTGTAGCAACATGTGAATTGACTCCACGAACCCAACCCAACAGGCCCCCACGGCAGAGATCCCGGGGCCAGCAGGATTTTTCGTTGCTTGTTCTTACGCTGTACAAGCTGAAATTTACGCATCACTGTCATGGGAAGTCAAATACGTCCTTATAGTGTGACACAAATACACTCCTTCTTGCAATTCAAGATCTTTAGAAAAGATTAGCACATCCTTAAAGAAGGGAGAAGAAGCATACTATGGCCCTGGCACAAACATGGAAGCAAAACAAACAAGCTTTTAGGGACCCCATTCTTGCCGCGCGCTTTATTCGCCGGAACCTGTCTTCCACCGGCGTGCAGAACAGATGGAGGCACTCCAACCACAGATTGAGGCGCTCCAAGATGCCTTGGAACTGCCAAAGTGCTCTCTTGTCTGAGCCGGCTAGACTTCCCAACATCAGTCTTTATCCGCTGAACGATGGATCTCAAAAACTGCTGAATATTTCTCTGACGGACCAAGAGATGGGATCTTGACTTCGTCTTGGTCTTACCAAGGTTCTTTCTCTTCATCTGCCGAGTCCAGCGTAAGCCCAGTCAAGGAACGGCCCTGACATTTGCCCTGCACCTGAGAAATGAAACCAAAAACGAGAGCTTCGTACTGACAATCCCTCGCAACGCGGCAACCAGTCACAAGGCAACATCTGAGCCAAAGCTCTGTAGCTGCAAGCAGCAAAGGAAGAGCAACTTCGCTGCATGGAGCTGTCACCTGCGAACTGCCAAAAGTCGATCTACCAGGCTTTCGCAGTAGTAGACTGCTCGAATGCATGTCAACTTCTCATCCTGGCCTCTGTCCTGGGCACATTCGGTGTCCCTGCCAAGCTTCATGCGAATCAATCGATTGCTCGAGACGCACTCGCGATTGATGAAAGAAGTATGCGTCTCAAATCTACAACCAAAGACACATAGCACTCCCCCAACTAATTTACACATAGCCAGCTGTGAAAGGATGTTGCCTCAAAAACCAATGCTTCCAAAGAGCCAGGAGGGAAGGAGCTCCAGGGTTTTATCATTGGTTCGGCATTGACCAACACTGGGCTGGTCTGTATGCGGATCTCCTGCCCACTGAGAGACGCTCAGGTAGTGATTTGTCTGCTTGAGAAGAACCAGACTGGATAGGTTGATTTTACATGAAGGTCTGACGCACCCTGCGCAAGGAGCAAGTGCCCAAGCCTCAAAAACCATAGGGTGCTCTTTGTGTCCTTGGTCTTCTCTTGCGTTATGCTGGAAAAGTTTATCTGTTTGACAATCAGAGTCTCCCTTGCTTGACAGAAGAAACAAACCCACCCGAGGCGATGATGATTTAATTTAGGTAAATCATGGCCATCAAAAACCAGAGCTTATACGGCCCGCAAGCGTCTTGGAGACCAAGGAGCCAGCAAGAGCAGCCAGGTGTCCGCTTGCCATGTGAACTCAAACAAGAAAGTATATGTTTATATACTTGAACCCAAAGGCCAAAATGCAAGCTCGCGATCCGACATCCTCAAGAATTAAACAAATAAAACCAACTGCCAATTGCTCGCTTCAACAGAATTTGTGGGCCAGGAAGGAGCTGCCATCATTCTTTCTGATCAAATCCCCTGGTGTTTCTCAGATCCCGCTCTCGGTGGCCCACCTGAGGCACGTCGAGTCCGGCCTCTCGCTCTGACTAGTTCTGAGCACGTTCTGACGGAGCCGAAATGGCCGAGAGCGTTGAGAAAGCAGCCAAAGAAAGAACATGATCGACAACAAAAAGGTGTAAAACCAGACATCCGCCTGGAGCAGCTGAACAATGCAGCCATGTCAAATTGCAACACCCGGCAGGGCACGCGCTATGGCCCTCATCGCCCAAGACGTACAACATCGCAGTGTGCGGGGAGGTGTCTTTGACCAGATTGTACCTGACCAGGATCGTGGTCCGGTCCAATCTGACGAAGTACAAGCTTCCAGGGAACTGAGAGGGGTACGTGACAGCTGAATGACCCAAGCCATCCACTGAAACCTGTCAGTCCAAGCTAGCGCATTAGCACAGCTCCGTTGGATTCCAGGTCAATTCATAGAAGTATCTCAATTGCATCCTTGGAATGGGCTGTCTTGGTCTCGTTTACACATCAAACATCCCAAAGAAGTTGGGCTATACATATATGCACTCATTGCACCCTAGGGCCTGGGACCAACCTACTGCAAAGAGATTACACACATAGATGTCGTGGCTTTTCTGTCGTCGGCCCGAGAATCTGGCCGCTGCAGCAAAGTGTCCCATTTGTGCAGATCGCTCTGCAGCCTGCGCCGCAAAGCACAAAAGAAATCAACCTGGTCTGACAACTGTTCAAGTTTGCAAACTTGGGCAGGTGGAGCTCCATCCCTCTTTTACTCCACAATCAATCGCGTTGGCAAAGCTCTATATCGGCGAGTGCACGCGATCCGAAGACCCTCTCCCTCCTGTCTCTTTGAGTTGCTGTTGACAGTCTCGCCACAAAACTGGTGATGCTTCACGTAGTCAAGCTCACCATGGCTTTTCAACAAGGCAACCAATCCTAGCAGGTTGCATCGCATGACTAACCAGAAAGAGAACCAAAGCCTGTACGCCATGCATCGCTGAAGATTCAAGCCAGTAGGTGCCAGGCGTCATTTTGGCTTGGCAGCTTGAATTGAACTCAAACGGCAATCGAAGAACTGAGACAGCTGAACAAACTGGCACAATTGATGGAGTCCTGATGTCATCCGTCGACTTTGTTGGATATTTACAACACTCAGGTTTCGATTTTCCAAGCCAAAAAGCCACCAGGCAGCTGGCGGCTATCACAGTTCCAGGTGGCATGGCCTTGCTTTCTTTCAGAGAAGTCACAGGTGTCAAACAGAAGGACGGTAGCATTGCCTTCGTTTCGGGTTCTGGAAGCCTTGTCTGATTCTTCTTGAGGTTGACCAGTTGAACATCATTGTCATCATCGTAGGTTGTCCAATAAAACATGCTTCAGCCTTCTGTTTGCACCTAGAACCCTAGAAACTACCGGCTAGCTAGCCACCTGTTTTTAGTGGCCATGGCATTGCTCAACATCTTGATGTTGGCTATGTACATAAGTTGAAACCACAGTTTTTTCAACTGTGCCAATCTTGACACTACATTCTTCGATCCATTCTCCACGGGTGAGTCTACTTCTTTGCTGCAGCCACTACACGATCATGCAGAGTAGTCCCCTCAAGAATCTCAAACTTCAAAGCCTTGGTTCGCGAAATCGCGGGGGGGGCCTTGTCACGGAAGAACATCAAGAATCAAGAACACACCCCAGTAAAGAGTAAAATAGAATAACATAAAACCCTAATTTGCTCACTCCGGTCCATCCGGTGAAGATCAAGCAACTCGTGGAGGACCCATCGAACTACCATCCCAGATCGATGTCCCATCGAGTTGGACATCAAAGGCATTGCGTTTGTTGACCACCTGCAAAGACGAAGAAACACCGATACTTGGCCACTATGCCTGGCGATTCGCTCTGTGAAACACCTGGACCATCTGGGTTCTTAGACAAGAGATGGTAAAATCTCTGTCGCAACATCGACTTCAGCAGCCTCCCTACTGATCACGCTTCTCAAGAATCTGATCTAAGTCTCCGGCTTTCACATTGGCCTCGCATTGAACTGCTGACCATCCCAATGCAAGTCAACTAGTCAGCCCAACATGTGGGAGTTGCTACAGTTTCCTCCTCCATACTTTCAGCTCCCCTTTCCAAAATGCCGCCGAAACACCGCAGGAAACATGTCCTTCAGCCCAGAGATCAGTGAGCTTCCACGATTGCGATACGTATTTCAGCTGACCTCAAGAATCCGAAAGGTCCGGTTTTCCGTGGCACAGGCCGGCAGTATGCCCCAGTTCCGTTCCGTTCGGTCCCAATGGTGTTTCATTCAGTCATATATAGTCTGGATGCTGCTATCAGCTCACTTTGAAGCAACGTTGCAGTGTGTCTTACGCTTTGATTAGAGGGAGAAACTGATATGCAAGAGTTTCCAGCATGCTTTGACTAGGCAAAAGACTGTATCTAGTTCCGCAGTGATTTTGGTTCCGAGACCCCGCCGAGAAGCACAGTGAGTCACCTCAAAAGTGCCCTTCACCCACGTCTCCTGTTGAGCAAAAATTTGATGTTGCGTTCACCTTGGGCATTTCCCATTACCAGACACAGTGGATGATGCTGAAAGGAGGCCTTTCACAGTGGTATTCTTTTGCAATACTGGAACTGGGACACACCCTACTTTCACAGTGCTTTTGGAGTTAGTTTGACACTGTCACCAACTCGCTCGTCGCCTGCGTTCCCTGGGGGGTCCACTTGGTGCTCGCCGCACTTGGACGCTTCAGCACTGACTTCTTGGCCATGCCTAGCGTCTTCTCTCTCCAGGTCTATCTCGTGGTGTCTGGATCTCGACCGAACAGTTCGAGTGAAACAAGAGCGTTCCATGGTTCGTCGTGGCCTCCAGCGACGGAGAAGATGGAAAGCTTGGACCCAAACAGCGGAGAAGGAAATGACCAAAGATCACCATCGACCCATAATGCGATACTCTGCGATGAATCTGCTTCCCTACAAGCAACGGAGGTGCGGCGCACCAAGCCACCCCAACCAAAGCCGAGAAGGCCAAATCGGATGCATCCCTGTCGTCAGGAATAAGGCAAAGCAGCAAAGCGGGCTGTTTTTGCACAAAACAAACTATTGGCCTCTTTGCGCAAAAAGGCGATACTTTCGAGGACCTCATAGTCCAGTACATCAAATGATTCGACGGCAAAGTTCATTTGGCTCTTTGATATCATGTTTCGTTTCTTCTCGGTTTGCTGATGTCTTCTTTGCCGCCGACGGCTCTCGCGGGCCTTTCTCTCAGAATCCACGCCTGAGAAGTGTGCATGGGCTCTTGTTGCTTGTGAAAGGAAAACACTATTCAGTCTGTGTCAAGACAACTCTGCCAACCGCCGCCCGTCTGGGCGGACCCCAATAGCTTTGAGTAGAAAAGGACAAAGGTGAATAAGCCAACTTCCGAGCACACACATGACGGCACACGGATGAGAGTGCACATATGCGATCAAGCACATGAGAGCACACATACCAGAGTGTACGGGTATGAGAAGCAAACGTATGAGAGTAGCACACACTGCACATGAGAGCATCAAACTTCACATTGCGCGGCCCTGCCACTGCATTTCGTAGCCAAAGCAACTCCCAAGACAAAATCGAGATGCCACAGTTGCCGCCTCACTGCACCTGCCACGAAATCAGAGCAGTCAGAGCACCCCCAACTCCAAAGCCCCGCACTTGCCACGAAATCTCCACGTCGAAGTAGAATTACTCCTATCCCCTGCGCCTGCCACGAAACGTCGATTTGAGACCACCAAAACACGAGGATTCCCTTGCGCCTGCCACGAAAAGTGACCACAGAGTCCAAAAATGTGTACACCAACGAGAGCGCAGTCGAGCAAAACACCCGCTTGGTTCCAGCAGTTTACGAAAGCCTGCACAGTCGAAATGCACTTTGAAGATCTCGAGAGGCATGAATGTGCTGTAAATAGCTGCACAGGAATGCGAGGACCATCGATCAAACCCAGCCTTAATCCCTACCGTAACAGCCCCCTTTCTTGTCTTGTCTGCGCACAGGCCTGGGAGTATATCTTCTCCCACAGGTCGATGGAGATCTTCCGTCGCATGCATGAACTTCAACAGTAGATTCGTCGCACACACGAACCGCGGAACCGTGTCAAATCAAACTGACATGGAACCTCAAAGCCTTCTTGCTGAGCACCAGCGGGAGGTTTGACCTATCAAATCAGTTTGAAAGGGATACTCAAACGGAACGCAGAATGAAGATGAAAGGTATGGTTAAATTGAAGAATCAACTTCATGGTCAAAAACAAAACGACAAAGGTGAAGATCCTCTTGCGGTTTTCCCTCTAGTCAAATATGCACACAAGACTGCAAACCAACCTCGGAAAAGAATTCTGGCATGAGAGTTTCAAAGCCCCGTTGGGCCCAATAGTCTACATGGTACCTCAAGACAAGGGACTCTCACAAAACAGGTCTCAAATTGTACTTCAGGGTAACAGGGTGCCTGTGCCCACCCGAAGCGGGAAGCCACTTTGACCAAATATGTCATGTCGCCGCAACAATAGCTACTGAACAGCGATACAAGTCTGGGGCACTTCCAGTTGGGTGCAGCAAAACCGGAAATATCATGCACCTGCAGAGTTGACTCAAGACGATTAGGCGAAGAGCATTGCGTGTTTAAACTTAGAGGTCCGCCAGTTTGCGACATGCTGCGACCATTGATTCGATTGCATCTCCCACAAAGGCCGCCGGAATGCATCCCAGAGTCGGCAACCAAACAAGCATGGTCTGTAGAAATGACTGTGAGGGGGGGCAAGATTTGAGATCTAGAAAGCTCAAAGCTGTGGAGCATGCATGAAGATTGACAGGAAATAGCAAATTGAGGCAGAAGGCCTGCGTATGTGTGTGCACATGCAGATGAGATGGCAGTGTTTTCGGGAGCCCTCAGCAAAACAAAATCATCTCTTAGCCTAGAAAGCCGTGTCAGTGGGAGATCTCTCCCTGAAATACATTGATCCTGAAGAAAGGGGAGGCAGTTGAAACTACTTTTCGCGGTCACCCATCTTAACGCCAAGTGTTTGTGGAACATGCTGCTTTCCTAATGAATGTTCATGAATTATACCCTAAAGATTAAGTATCTGACAGAAGTTTACCGTTTCTGAGCTTAACACTAGCACCAGGCCCATCCTTCGGCCACTCTTCAGTCGTGGAGCTGCAAAGTAGCCCTGCGCCGAAATGAGCGCCGTTGGTACGAATCTCGTGCGTTGTGTGCTGCAGAGTAAAATGGAGAGTCAGAACATGTAAACTACTAGTATTGCAGTAACTCAACACCATGGTGAGGGGATGAGAAAGGCTATATAGATGAGTACACAGACTTCTTGCGTGTGAACCCAGGAGCCAAAAAAATTGCGTTGTTCTTTGCATGTGTCCCACATGCCACTGTATAAAAACGGGAAACAATAAACTACCCGCTGGAACAGCCGACTGAGGACGAGGGGACATCAGAGCGCATCAGAGCTGGGACACCGCCGATGGCAAGAGCACCAGCGTGTTTGGGTGGTGGGTGAGCATGGACAAACCCAAGAGAGGTCCTACACAAGACTTAAGAGCCAAGGGCAGGCAAGGCTAAAGGGGATCAAGGATCCCCAAGGATCAGCACCGTTGTTTAGGGTAGCCACTGGAAGGCGCAAAGGTCCGTCCTTGCAACTCACACCCAACACAGGAAAACTCAAAGCCCGGACTACCTGTGGTTCAAGCACCAAGGGTGACACAAACTCAAAACCCTAAATCTTCGGGCCTCCGGTGCAACCACTACAAGTAGAAGCTAGCAAGCCAACGGGGTAAAAAAACAATCAGGCACATGCTTATTCATGGGAAAACCATTATGAACCAAAAAAGAAGTGCGCTTTACAAATCTATAGTTGGTGGAAGTGGAGCCAACTGTGGTGGGTGTAGAGCAAACCTCACATCCGTGTTTTTTCGCAAACCCTGCCTGCAGTGATGGCGTGATCTCAACCATCGAGCGGTGGATGCCATTGCGGTCTTCGCCTGAGGCTTCAAAGCAATGTAGACTCTTGATTAACAAACCCGCCTCGATTGAATTGAAAATCCTCTTCAAATGGAGGGCTTGCTAATAAAGAGTGTACATTATGTTGCTTAGAACTGTGATTTCACTATTAACGTTGTTGCCAGCACCGGCCGCCTCTCTGAAGCATCTCCGCAATGAAGAAGCCGTGGCATGAAGGAATTGCTGATAAATCCATATATATTATATATACATATATATATATAACCTGCTTTTGCAACACCGAGGGAAGAGATTGGTCTGAATGAGGCAACTTGGTAATCATGGCAACCAAACAGCAAGGGCTCCTTTGAACCTGAAAGAAGCAAGCGCTGTTTCCAGCCAGTGCCAGATGTCAGGTAGAGTCTTCCCAGGAAGCTTCGGGGTGGCCTACTTTCCTGTTGAGCCACTTGCTCGATCATACAGGGGATGAGTGTCTCCGTTAACTGTTCAACCACCCAGGAGGTGCGGATCCCATGGCTCAAGCCATTGATTGGACAATCATTATTTTGCCGATCCCTGGACACGCCGCGGTCACAATCATAGTATTATAGGCGACGAGACCGGCCGGGCACCTGCATTCCTTTTCTTCTTGCGCATTGGCTCTGCTCCACTCTGTAATTGCACTCAGCCGCATGAACCAAGTCGGAGAGGAATGCTGAACAAAAGAAAACTGCCAATCTTGCCACGCAGGTTGATTGATGAATGCGATGTCAATGTCTCTCAACATCGAAGCTTTCTGCTTCTCTGAAGAGTCGTGGGTCGCGACACTTCCGTGTTCCTCAAGAAAAACGCGAAGGAGAGTCCAACCACCCGTCGTTTGTTAACGAAGCGAATGGCTTCTCGCTAGCCGTTTCCAAGGAGCACTAGCGCCGACCGAGCTGAGCCAGAAAGGTGAATCCTTTCCACGATACCCACCACGAGTGAAGCCGCCACCCGAGGCCAACCCCAACCAGCAAGGTCACAGTGAGAACCCCGCCGATCAGGTACCAGAGTCCTAGCTGGTCCTGCTGATAGCCTGGCAGGTCAAGAGCAGACTCACCCCACCTGACCAGGTGGGCCATGAGAAGGTCACCCCACAAGCGCTTGAGTTAAAATAAATGGGGCCTAGAGCACGGTGCTAGAATGCGCTTGCAAGATCGGGAATGTACCACAAAGAAACAGATTTGGAATGTCTTCCCACATTGGAAGTTCCAAACAAAGCCAGACTTTCGGAGATGATGGTCAATCAATCCAATCAATCCTCCAGGTGGTCGACTGTCGATCTGCTCACGCTCCCTCACATTCACGGACGGTGCCATCTGTCTATCTGTCTCGGTCTCTTTGCCTCCGCCATTGAAACTCATCAATCAAATTCCTGGCAAGGTAAACAAATGTACCACAATGTCCTCCACCTCCAAGGAGTCTGCCGCTGTGCTTCGTCAACCTTTAAGCAGAATTTCCACGGATCTGGCTAGTTTTCGCCCACTTCCAAACGCACTGGCTGACCAGGTGGCAGGTCCTCACAAGACTCATCTGACACGGGTGGGCAAGTGAGAGCTCAAAAAGCAAGAAGCACTTGGCTACATGGTTCAACATTGGGTACCACAACCCTCACGCCAATAAATAGAAGTTATGGAAGTATACCATTCTCACTTCTCACTGCTCTCACTTCCCCTGTCCAGCAAGCACACTTGACGCAGCTTCGGTCTTTCTCGCTGCTGTTCCCGGAAGCTTTCCACCGAGCCATCCTCCTTGAGCTGTTCGGCCAAGAGGCCTCAAACGCGACACCTCCCACCGAATGGAGCGGTAAACAACGACAGTGAATCACAATGCTCGACTTGAAAGGACTGGCTGATCTACTTTGCAATTGGCCTGATGCGTCAATCTCTGCATTCGGCAATGGCAAAAGAAAACGGGGAACTGGATCCAGAGCTTCCAATGTGTCTGCGGCTTCCTGCACACCATTGACCAACCTGCAAAATCTTGGTCTCAAAAGACCACTGTGGCTGTTGGATGCTGCGTAGTTCTAGTTTTTTGGATGGGAAGTTGCAATCTGCACACATGCGAGTCTCTTGCTGCCTGTACCCAGAGATCTGCTGTGCCCGCAGCGGCAAAATGAGAGCGTCCAAGGGCTGACGGGGTGCGCTTGGCAGGCGTTTGAAGGACCTCGACTTGAGGGTTTGATGGCTGTCAGTTGGTCAACCCAGCACTTGCTCGGGGGATGGATACGTCGTTTCGACGATTTACCAATCACATCCACATTGAACAAACAGCTTTGCGAACAAACAGTGCAAAGCTGAGGGCCCCTCGTTCCAAGTGCTGGCCCAAAGAAGTTCCCATGTGGTTCAGTGCCTGGCCCCCATAGAACTCAATGTCGAAGGCTCAAGCGTTCCATGCTGGAAACCCTTCATCACTCATCCAGCCTATTGACCAACCGCCACGACGGGTGTCAGTGAAGACCTTGAGTTGGGACAGTCAGGTTAACCATATTGAACTCATGCATTATGTCCAATGCAAATGAAATTCATGGTGCATTGCTGAAATATGTATATATAGAAAACTGCTGATTCTGACTCATGTCCTACTTTTTTGCTGGAGCACATATCCATTCTCTGGGTCTTGCCATGGAGGGCCCACCACACTCCCAGGAATGGCAGAGATGCAAAGGTGCCCCAGCATCAATGACCTGAGCACTGCGACAAATAGCCGAAGCAATCGCATTCTGAGCATCAGGATGCTCTCCAAGATGCTCTCCAGGCCTCAACGTGGAGGGTTGATATCCAAGTCTTTGCACTGTTTTGGCTGCACTGGGGTTGGTGATGATGGGCATCCTCCAGACCAAAGGACACTCTGTAAATGAAAGTGTCAAAGGATGTCTTGTTGTGCTTCACCGTAGGCACAGATGGACAAAGCAGCTTTGCATGCGCTCACCAAATCAAGCATGCATTATTGTTCATTCCATTTGCATTCTGGCCTGCGATCGATTCTTTCAAGGGTTGGACGATGACAGTGGTCGTCCAAACTCTGTGTAATCCTGACCGTCCATTGCACAAGACTCAGGAGAGAATTCGTCACGTGATCATCAAAGACCAATGCCCTTAAAGCAACAAGCCATGGCGGGGGCCAAGGTGCACGATTGCATCAAAGCTCTCCCGGACATCCTCCGGTGTCAAGAACTCATATCGTCGGCTTCCACGAAAAGCCCAGCTCTGGCCCCAAAAGACCTCGCAGCGACAAGCACCAAGACGCACTCTGAAAGCTCAGAATCCCAATGTCCGAGCTTTTATTCAATTCAAGCTTCCAGCTTGCCAACCAGAAGCGGATCCATCAGAAGTCTTTGACCAGCAATTTCCAGAGCCAAAGTGTTGACACCAAAGTGAGTGACGATCGGCGTCAGACTCGAGCTGCCAGCTGCTCGAGCACATCCAGAAGCCCTTTCTCCTTAGGAAGGTCTGCCCTGCGGATCCCCAAGCCCATGGACGCATCCGTTTCAAACATCGCATCCTTTTGAAGAGCAAGTGAAGGGTCTGCACTTCACACTTTCTTAAGCTCAGCTTGCTTCTGCCCAGGCTCTCAACTTGAGCGTCTTCATGGCCATTCCACGATTGGTCACAAAATTCGTTTGGATAAACAAACACCATTGGCCTGGCCAGTTTCACTCTAACTGCATTCAACATGGAACAGTCTGTGGATGGAATCAACTTCAGCCAGCAATTGCAGCAACCAACCTGCGCCAAAGAGTGCAGCAGCCAATGCCCAAGGCAGAAGCTGTCCCGTGGCCATGGTTTCTCAGCATGAACCACTATCTCTTAGAGTTGTCATCTCATTTGTAGATGAGGAATTGCAATCCATACCCTGGAGAAGGAGAATATGTTTTCTTTTTTTCGGAAGAGCAGCAAATCGAAAATGGCAATCTGCAGTCTTGAACTTGTAGCGAAGGGATTGTTCATCCCAGTTTCTTCAATCCAAGATAGTAGATAGTGTGGATGATTCAACTCTTTGCGCATACATTATACAACTGAAGCCAAAAGTGCATGTAACAGAAACAGATCAAAGCAGCAATTGCAAGAAAGACCCTGGAGGCATGTCCATGCGCTTTGGGAAAGGCCAAAAACGAATGGATGAGCTAGCGCGACACCTGAAGTACAAAAGCCAGCATTTGGATCCTTTCGAAGGGAAAAAGAGAGACACGGAGCTCTGTCAGCCATGTCTGCCAAAACCACCCGGTGGACCCGGATCTTTTTTGGCCAACACCATTGTAACGACACCTCGGAGTCTGTTGAAGCGGCACACCACCGGTCATCTCCGCACAGCGGCACAGCGCGGATCTGAGGTCTGAGCCCATTCAAATCTTGCCTTGCTTTGCAGCATACTCTCCAGTATAATACCTCCGTCCAAGATTGAAGACACAAAGAGATTGGAACAGGAATAAAACCAGGTGGCCCGCCCGGAATAATACCAGGCCATCAGGAGATTCATCAAAGTCTCGTTGTTGAGACCAAGAGCCTCAGGCTTTTCAGGACGCACCTAAACGGCTATTGCTATCTATGGCTCAAAAACGGAGTGCCCAATATCAAGGCAACCAGTTTGGAAAAAAGAGAGAGCGGCGCAGTGTCCTACAGTGTCCCACGGAGAGAAAGTAATAACAAATGGACAAAACTGCAAATCTCTTGATCCTTTTTGAGAACATGGAAAACAGTCGCAGCAGCGAAAGCTGGGCGTGCGGCAGTGTTTTGGCCAGCCCTGATGTTGAAAAGGCATTCTTTCTCACTGGCGACTCAACCCTGAGCTTTCGGCAAGGGCATGCCGAACATGCTGCCACTGAGCAAGCTCCCTGCATGGCCAAGTCTGTTTCAACAATTTTTAAACTACTGACGGATCAAAGCACCTGAGATAAGTTGTTGAACTGATTGTAGCTGCAACTGTTGAAGTTGTTGTTGCTGCCTCACTCGAAGATGCACAACACTCAACAATACCAACGATACCAACAACAGGAAATTCAACATCTGCCACAGGTTTGCACATGTCTTTGCAAACTCTATGGCATTAAGATTTGTTGCATTGAGCTCGTAAATTACACCAGCGTCGACCCCAAACAATATTTGTTTGGTTCTTTTGCTCTCAACAGCCATGGTATACACAAATACAAGAACAAGGCTTTACCTTTCAAAACACAAGCAGATTGATATTTTCGGAAGTACATCTGCGTACTTCGACAAATGCAAGCGTGTGCTTTCAAGAACATGAAGTTGCGTGTCGCAGCACATTTAAATGTTTTCTTGAAAACATGTTGCTTATTTTCCAAAATACATCCACGCAATTGGATCAATGCGACCACATGTTTCCAGAAAACTGACGTTGCACTTCAAAAGTCACAATTCCGACTTTTCAGATGCATACCACTGCGCAAATAATTGTGTTGTTCAAGAATACAAGCGTGCAGCGCCCATTCTCACAAACATGAAGTGGTCTCCCGAAGGCACAACACTGACACTTCCAAAGCATCCCGCTGCGTGCAGTCAGAAATTCCTTAAGCACACGAGCCTTTGTTTTAGAAGCGTGCCTGTCTTTCCATGGGCATAAATCAGTTTTTGGAAGGGCATGCCACTGTGCAGAAATTCATCTGAACAGCACAAGCGCCCCTTCTCAGAAACAAGATGTTGAACTTTCACAGTCAAACTCTGCCAATTCAAAGCATACTGCATACTTGTGTACTTTCAGACATGCACCTGCGCGTTTCGATTCATACAAGCGCGCTTTTTCAGAAACATGACCTTGTGATTCCGAAGTCACCACTTGGCTCTTCTAAGGCATTCAGCAACTTGCTTGATACCTTTTGTGCATTTCGAGCAATACGACTGCGTCTTCAGAAACATGCCGTTGCCTGGTGTGAGGTGAAGACAAGCAAAGGTTCACCGAGCCACCAAGCGCACGCCATCATGATCATCCAGTGACCATGGACCAGAAAAATCAAAGAATCCGACCCAGGATGCGAGTGCGGATGCAAAAAGCGGAGGGCGCCAAAAAGGAAGTGATATCATGACAGGTTGCCAGTCCAGAGACAAGAAGGACAAAACGCAAATTATATCGTGGCAGGCTGCCAGTGGGGAGAGCAGGAAATAATGTCGTGACAGGTGCCAGTGAAGAAACAGTCGTGAGAACCGAAGGAAGACCATTCTGAAAATCATGTTGCGAAGTGGGGAAGTCATGTTGCAACCAAGGGAGACAAGTGAATGAAAAGGTCGACACCGTTGCTAGAGTAGAGGGACAAGAAGTAGACAAGTGGGAAAGTCATGTCGTAAGTGCAGAAGTCATGTTGCGACAAGTTGCCAGGCATGCGACCCAGAGGGGGGCAAGTGAAGTGAGGAGACACAAGGAGATGATGCCGTGACAGATTGCTGCTGGGAGACAAGCAGGGAGACAAGCGCTGAGACAAAAAGGAAGTCAAGGAGCGCAACAAGTTGGGAGACAAAGGGGAAGTCATGTCGTGACAAGTTGCCAGCGGGGAGACAAGAAGGGATACAACTTCTTTTAACTTTGGATGGTGTCAGATTAGTGATTGAGTAGGGGCACCACGGAATCTGCACATCCACGCGAAACTCCTGCACCTGTCACGACTTTGGACCACCAAAACTTAAAACACAAATGTTCCCTTGCACCTGCCACGAAAAGTGATCACCAAGCCCGCAAAATGCGCACGGCGCCACAACGAGTGCGCAGGCTCGCAAAGCACCCGCTCAGGCCCACCAGATTCTGCGAATTAGCCGGTCACGGATGCGCACCCCTCCGATCAAACCCCGGCCTTAGCACCTACGGCAAGAACCCCACCACACTGTTTGGGGAAAAACGCATTGGCAATAAAGCCACATGATGAAGTTTCAAACGAGCATCAGATGAAGGGCAGGGGAGCACAAGCATGTCCCATTACACGGGTCAAAGTCACCCTCAATCGCACAAGGCAAAAAGCCGAGGAGAAAAGAAATCATTTCATGCCAGGGTGCCAGTGAGAGCAAGAGACAAGAAGAAGAGACAAAAAAAGGGGGGAAAACAAGAAAGCAGGCAAGGAGGGAGACAAGTTGGGAGACAAAGGGGAAATCATCATGACAGGATGCAATGGGAACAAGAATGAAGGGAGACAAGTGAGGAGACAAAGGAGAAATCATGAAACACAACGAGGTGGCATTGGCACACAAGCGATTGTTGTGATTGTGTGTGTGCGCGCAAACGCGAGCATGAAGCAGGAAAATCTGGAGTCGGTTGAACCCTTCTAAGAGCGCAAGTGACCCAAAGTGTGGCTACTTCTGGGCGTGGGTATCTTCCAGATCCATCTGAGTGGAGAACTGCAGGAGCTGCAGTGTCTGCAGCGCTTGTAGCAAGGGTGCTGGCGAAGGGGCACCCTGGGCAACCGCAAAGTGTTTTGATCCAACTATCAGCTATTGCAATGAGCCACTGAAACAGGATCAGCTTGATTTGGCAGTCTCGGTAGTTTTTTTCTAATGTCATGGCGCAAGAGTAAAGAATAGCCACCTCCGGCAGCGGAGGAGGCATCAAAGAAGCCCAGCTGGGAGAGTCGAAGGCCTGTCGAAGGTGTGCCACAGTCCCGTTGGGGCCAACCGGATACCTGTGGGCATCTGTAGGAACTAAAGGTATTGCCATCAAATTTACGGTGTGGGATGTCATGAAGAAATGCGACGACTTGCCTTCATGAGATGTGTGCCAGTTTGGACCTTTGCTTAGCATACTACACACGCCACACATTTACATTAGATGTGAATCCAATAATTTGACATATAATATACAAATACATCTATTCCCATTGATACCCTCAAAAAAGGTTCGCCCTTTTCCACACCCAAAGAGTGGAAAAAGTCCCAAGATTCAAGAAGCATGTATACAGCTATGATGTGCATGTACGTATCTATCTATCTATCTATCTATCTAT